CAGAAACTGCCTTTTAAAAGAAGTTATTGAAGGAAAGATAGAGGGGCGGATAGAAGTGACAAGAAGACGAGGAATAAGACTTAAGAAGATGCTGGATGACCTTGGGGACAGAAGAGGATACTGTAATTTGAAGGAGAAAGCTCTAGATCGCATTAAGTGGAGGAATTATTTTGGAAGAGACTGTGGACCTGTCATCTGACAGATTACTGATGATAATGATGTTGAGTGGGGTGGGATTAAGTCCCTTGTACTGCGGCCACTTCTGGCATATTGTATCAGCTCCAGATGATAGGTGAGGGTGATTGTGGAGCAATTTGTAGAATGAAGATTGAAGTACTTTGAGAAAATCTGCCCTGGCGCCACTTTGTCCACCACAAATCCCACTTGACCAGACCCGGAATCGAACCCTGGCCACCGCAGTGGGAAGCCAGTGACTAACCGCTTAAGCTATGGCGCGTCCCAATATGTAGGTAAGTCAATAAGTAAGTTACAAATGGATATAGAACTTAAACAAATAAGAGTACTGATTTGAAAAATGATTTTATTTCTCAACGTAATCTCCCTGTACATTGAGGTATGTGTCCCATCGTTTCACAAGGCCCTGAAAACCAGTAGCATAAACTTCTTTGGGCTGCTATTGGAACCAGGCGGTGACTGGGATCACGAAGGCATACTGCTCACCACATTCCATCCTCAAGGACAAACCGTAAATGCCAACTCCTACTGTACCATCCTCAGGAAACTTCGTAAGGCCATTCAACAGAAGCGACCAGGACTCCTCACCAAAGGTATGTTGTTCTTGCATGACAATGCGCGTCCCCATACTGCCAACAAAACAAATGAGAAGCTGCAAAATTTCAAATTGGAAGTTCTCGAGCATGATCTGTATAGCCCCGACCTTGCCCCAGGCGACTTCCATTTGTTCGGCCCACTTAAATATCATCTTTCGGCTGAACATTTTCCCAATGATGAAGCTGTAGAAAAGGAAGTCGCCGCCTGGTTCCGAGAGCAGCCCAAAGAATTTTATGCTGCTGTTTTTCAGGGGCTTGTGAAATGCTGGGACAAGTGCCTCAATGTACAGGGATATTATGTGGAGAAATAAAAGCATTTTTCAAATCAGTACTCTTTATTTGTTTAAGTTCTATATCCATTCGTAACTTACTTATTGACTTACCCTTGTACATATCAGGAGTCAGCAGTATGTAACTACATCCAAAGTCCAAAATTTCCACTGGCTGATGCTACTGTAAACAAATCCTAGCATGAATCCCTATTGATTAAAACTCACATTTCTAATTATCCATAACAAGTCTCCCACCTGAAATGAGAGCTAATCCTGCATATGTTAGTACAGATATTTGCATGACAAATTTGAATAATATACTAAGAATAACCAAACATATCACTTTTTGTTAAATATCAGATGAACATAGCTTTTCCCCTTTAATCTTTTCCTAGAAACAGAAATGAAATGTTTCTCAGTGTAAAAGAAGAATTTCTATAATTGCAGAGAAACCAGTAAGATATAGTAAACTCCATGTTATCAGGCATATATGGGGTTGGGTGTGTGCCAGTTACATGAACCTGATGGTTGCATGATCGAAATTATTATTGAAACCCAAAGTTGAACTGTTTTCAGTTTAGGTCTTGCATCGGGAGTCTTCCTAGGTGACTAATCTGATTTATTGGTTAAAAATTTTGCCTAATGTGTACTGTTACAGTATTACAGATTCAACCATACTGTAATGACACCTTTGTGAAGGAGGATAGGTAGCAGCTTCATCATCATCATTATCATCACTGGCACGACAGCCCCTTGTGAGCCCTGGCCTTCCTCAGGATTGCTCGCCATTCTTCTCTATTTGATGCTACATTCCTCTAGTTCTTTACACCCAAAATTCTTATATCCTGCCACACACATTCTTCCATCTTAACCTTGGTCTTCCCACTTTCCTATTTCCTTCTGGTTTAGTATTAAGCATTTTCTTGATGGTTCTATTCTCTCTGGCACGTATTGTGTGTCCAGCCCATTCAAGCCTTTTCACCTTTATAAATCCAATAATGTCTGGTTCATTAAATAGTTTGTATAGCCCATGGTTATACCTCTTCCTCCATATTCCATTTACTTCCACTGGTCCAAAGATATATTTCAAGATCCTCCTTTCAAATATACTTAACAGTCTTTCATCCGATCTTGACAGTGGCCAGGTCTCAGAGGCATATGATAGCACTGATCTTATAAGTACTTTATTCATTATAGTTTTGGTTTTCCTGGGTATTAGCTGGGATTTCAGGTGTTTCCTAAGGCCATGGAGACATTTATTTGCTGCAAGTACGTGTTTTTTTATTTCATCACTGATATCATTTTTACAGTTAACTTCTGATCCAAGGTAAGTGAAACTACATACAACCTCAAATTTATATGAGCCAATTTCAATATATGTAGGTCCATTAGCACAGTCTTTCTTGGTTACTGGGATGTACTTTGTTTTATTTTGGTTAATTTGTAGATTCATCATTTTTGCTGCTCTTTCCAAATTAAGAAAAGCTTCTTTCATAGATTTTTGTGTTCTACCAATTATATCAATATCATCTGCAAATGCCAAAATTTGAACTGACTTGTAGAATATAGTTCCCCTTGTGTTGATGCCTGCATCTGTAACTACCTAGGTAGCAGCTTACTTTTTGAATAAAATGACAAGTTTTCTTTGAAATTTTTTGCTGGTTGAATGAGAATTCCAGACGTTTTTAAATCTGGATAACTGGGAGTTTAATGTGGTGTGAAAGATTTTTGCAGTTCTGAAAATATCTGAAATTTTGTAAGCTTTTGAATTGGATTCATACACACCTCAAATAAGTTTCATTTCATCAATTTACTGTCTTCATAATTAGCAGTGTACCCAAATGTTATGTTTTACATAAAAACAACCATTGCATTAACATTGTGATTTTTTGGCCTACTTTCATAAAAAGGGGTTTATTGCATCATGTCTGATATAGTAGGCAGTAATAGCTGTTAATAAAGTATGCAACTATTATTAAGTGGGCATTTTGTGGGATGTAAAACCAAGTGGTGGATAAGCAAAATTTGTATTTGCCTTTTTATTTTGGTAGTGGATCAGTGGAAAAGTAAAAAAAGTAAAGCTATCCCTGTACCATGCCATGAAGGCTGATAGGGTTGTGAGACGTTGAGGGTCCCACGTTATCTAGACAATCAGCCTAAAGATGGTGGTAAGGTTGTCAGCCTCATGAGCTATCTGCGCTTTACTCCTCAGGATAATTATTTAATTAATTCCTGGTACTCATTTCTGTTAGAGGCTGAGTTGACCCCAGGGTCATAGTGCAGCTGGAGGGATTAGGTCAATTGAAAAAAATCCAATGACCTCATCAGGACTTGAACCCGCGACCTTCCGGCCTGTAGTATAGCCCCTCAACCAACTACGCTCCCAGTGTATTATATTTTGATAACGTTTGTAGAGTTACTGTGGCACTTTCCGATGAATTATGTATTGACATTTGCAGGGACAGAAATAGAGTTACAAATAAAGGTGCTTGTAAACTATGGATGTGTGTGTGTCATGTTATTGCAGAGGAAACTCCGTCAATAGCATAAATGGTTCTTAGAGCCCTAACACACAAGTATCATTTACCGTGATCTGTATAGTGATCGCGCAAACATCCGACGCTTTGAAAATTTGTGCAACAAAATTTATTTTTTTGTCGCCTCCGATATACTGCCTATGTGAGGGCTGTATAAAGACATAAGTTGCCGACACCCCCCACAGTGATTAATCCTGATGGCTGCTGTACGGTTTCAGTACCATTGGAGAATCGTTTGACACACTCCTTGCGTCCTCCATACTACTCATCTATTGATCAATGTGGTTACTTAGAGGACTTAGAGTGTGGAATCAGTCCCGGTCCGTTCTACATAGCTCTAAGATAGTGAAACATTACAAATTAGGGCATTTAGTATGTTGGTACTCTGTGCCGATCTGTGCTGTTATATTGGCACTTTTGGAATTCGTAGCTCATTTTTTTTTTTCTACGGGACGGTTTGTAAAGTTATGATTGGCTCAATATGCAGACCAATGAAATGAGAACAAGAACATAGAAATGTCAACGTAGTAGTGTTGTGCATCTATCTACGTAGTCTGTTTCGGTCTGTTGTATGTAGAGTAAGTGTTTGCGTAATGACATAAGAATTTGCCATTAATTTTATTATATTAAGTGAACTGAATTGTTAGTTTCTATTACTGTTCTTTCAAAGTGAGTGGTTTTTGTTAACGGTAACCAGGAATTGCATTACTTTGTAATAAAAGTAATTTATGTGTGAATTAATATATGAGTGACTTTTAATTTCAGATTTCAGTTAGCCTCCACAATTTAAACAGTTTTGGGCACGCCCGTTAATAATAATGAGTGGCAACGGTTTTGATCTGTGTGAGTGTATTTGGACTCACGAGATGGCAATGAGACGTTTACTTTCACTGGTAAGTAGTCCAAACCATATTGTGGGTGTTTAATCCTGTGCAGTATGTAAGACGTATACCGCAGAAACAACTTACACGTAATGGAAATACACTTATTTGCAGTTACCTGACCGTTGTAAACTAAGTCCTCTTGAACCCAGCAGAGGTTTTGGGTTTTATGTATGGTTATTGGTCTTAACACCCATATTCAGTGCCAGCATTCATTACTCTTCCCGTTGTTCCACTTGATTCTGAGTCTTGTCACTGGCCTTCTGTGCTCGAATTTTGGCATGCAGTTTGCTTTGATTGCTGCCAAAGTTGATTTTAAACTAATTTAAAAGTGTTGTATGCTGTATTCAGCTTTGTGCTTGTTGCTGTGGTAGACCATGCATCTTTTCACCTGATTCTTTTGTTATTGGTTAGATTCGTTTGTGTTGTTTGTTTCTTAAGTATAAATTCATCTTCTTTCTTATTCCCAGGATGTTGATCTATAATAATTTATGTGTATTAGTAAATAATACTTACTTACTTGTGGAGCTGAGCCCTTCTGGAGCAGCCATCAATTGAGCAGCTACTCAAGAATTTCCCAGCATTTTATGGATTCATGTTCCACTTGATTCTGAGTCTTGTCACTGGCCTTCTGTGCTCGAATTTTGGCATGCAGTTTGCTTTGATTGCTGCCAAAGTTGATTTTAAACTAATTTAAAAGTGTTGTATGCTGTATTCAGCTTTGTGCTTGTTGCTGTGGTAGACCATGCATCTTTTCACCTGATTCTTTTGTTATTGGTTAGATTCGTTTGTGTTGTTTATTTCTTAAGTATAAATTCATCTTCTTTCTTATTCCCAGGATGTTGATCTATAATAATTTATGTGTATTAGTAAATAATACTTACTTACTCGTGGAGCTGAGGCCTTCTGGAGGAGCCACCAATTGAGCAGCTACTCAAGAATTTCCCAGCATTTTATGGAACCTGAAGGTTCATCACCATGTTCTCAAGAGCCCTCCACTGGTCCCTATCTTGAGCCAGATAAATCCATTCCATCCCATCTTATCTCTCTAAGATCCATTTTAATATTGTCCACCCACATATGCCTTGGTCTTTCCAGTGGTCTCATTCGTTCTGGCTTTCCCACCAATATCCTATACGCATTCGTTGTCTCCCCCATTCGTGCCACATGACCTGCCCACCTCATCCTCTTTGACTTGATCATTCTAATTATACTTGGAGGAGAGAACAAATTATAAAGCTCCGCATTATGCAGTTTTCTCCAAGCTCCTGTCACTCCATCTCCCTTCGGTCCAAATATTCTTCTCAACACCCTGTTCTCAAACAGCCTCAGTCTATGTTCCTCCCTTTGTGTCAGGGACCAAGTTTCACACCCACACAGAACCACAGGCAAAATCATAGTTTTGTATATTCTAATTTTTATGTTTTTGGACAACAGACAAGAAGACAGAAGCTTCTGGACTGAATGGTAGCATGCATTACACAAGTTCAGTCTCCTCTAAATTTCCTCCTGAATCAGGTTTAGATCTGTTATCATTGTTCCCAAATATCTGAACTGTGCCACATTTTCAAAATATCTATTTCCTATTTTTATGTCATGATTTTTCCCAGCATTTTGGTGATGAGATAGTAACATATAGTTATTTTTCTCTGTGTTTACTTCTAGACCAACCTCTTTACTTGCATCAATTAAAATTTGTATGCTTTTCTTTATTTCATTCATCAGTAATCTGTCAAGACGACAGGTCCACAGTCTCTTCCAAAACAGTTCCTCCACTTGATGCGATCGAGAGCTTTCTCCTTCAAACGAAAATATCCTCTTCTGTCCCCAAGGTCATCCAGCATCTTCTTACGTCTTCTTCCTCGTCTTCTGGTCACTTCTATCCGCCCCTCTATCTTTCCTTCAATAACTTCTTTTAGAAGGCAGTTTCTGCGTAAAACATGACCAATCCAATTAGCCTTCC